CATAAAACTATTAAATTCAGTTTAACTATATGATCATCTATTTTTAAAAATCTATAGATGAAAATTGTACTAAATGATATTTTTTTGTAAATACATATATCAGTTACTTTTTTTTTTTTGTAAATGAAAGTTGTACTAAATGATATTTTAGAAATGAAAATGTAAAAGTATCGCTTCAAAACTTTTAATAAAAAAAACCAAATACAAAGAAACAAAAATCTTATACCACTATTAAACTAAGCTTAAAATATATCACTTTAAAGATCTATCAAAATCTTTTGCATGTATTAAACTAAGCTTAAAAATGTCAATGATTCCAACTTGCCAGCAACAAATATTCGTCTCTGATCTCTCTACCATTAATTTATCACATGAGAATCTCAGATTCTTGTGCATTTGTGATATGATTTTCGTTCTCTTTCCAGGCTATGAAATCTCGTTTCTTATCCACAAACTCAAAGGAAAGAAAGAGCAACAATGGGTTTCAACTTGAAGAAGATTACGAGAAAGAAGACTTTGATTGGACTTGGCTTAGGACAGATCCTCTCTCTTCTTGTTACTGCTAATGTGTTTACATCTTCTGAGCTAGCTAGAAAAGGTTCAAGCTTTCTTCTTCTTTTTTCTTGGGTTTGGTTACTTCTGAAATCTCTGAAATGAATTTGAGTGAATGATTTTTGGTTCAAAAGTGATTTCTTTTATAATACATTTTCTTGAACTTTATTAGGAGTTAATGCTCCAACATCACAATCGTTCTCCGGTTATTTGTTATTGGCAATCGTCTATGGAAGTATCATGCTGTATCGAAGACCAACTATTAAGGTCTTTCTCTCTTTGGAAACATTATACATTGGTCTCACTCTGTGTTAATGCTCTAATTTCTCATTGCATATATAATTGAGTTTCAAATGCCTAATAGTTCTAACTACCAAACTATTGCTAACATAATTTTTATTTTTTTTGTTGTAGGCCAAGTGGTATCACTATTTCCTCGTTGCTTTAGTTGATGTGGAAGCAAACTTTCTTGGTGAGTCTTCTTATTTACATGACCTCTTCTTTTGTTGTTGTTGTTGAATTACTTCCATTGCTTTTACAGTGGTGAAGGCGAATCAGTACACATCGATAACGAGTATAATGCTGCTTGACTGTTGGGCGATCCCTTGTGTTTTGGTCTTGACTTGGGTTTTCCTCAAAACAAAATACAGATTTAAGAAGATCAGTGGCGTGGTAATCTGTATTGTTGGTGTTGTCATGGTAGTTTTCTCTGATGTTCACGCAGGGAGTCGAGCGGGTAATGATGTAGAACCTGATTCATTACTCAGCAAGAAACTTCGATTTAAGCATATTATGATGTTTGCTTGATTTTTTTAGGAGGAAGTAATCCTGTGAAAGGTGATCTTCTTGTTTTAGCTGGAGCAACTTTATATGCTGTTAGTAACACCACCGAGGTAAGAAAGTCTCTGCGTAACACTTTCGTGAACAATCAAAATACTCGGAAAAAGGTAAAATCTAGTCTCTTTGTTCCTTTGTTATAGGAGTTCCTTGTGAAGAGTGCAGACACAGTTGAGCTGATGAGTTTTATGGGATTATTCGGCGCCATTATTAGTGCCATTCAGATGTATCCTTGAGAAAACAAAGCTATGAATTTAATGTTTTCTTTAGACTTATATAAGTACATTTACCATGAAGTTCCTTGACTTGTCTATAGAGGAATAGTTGAACGCGGTGAGCTCAAAGCTATTCACTGGTCAGCTGAGGCGGTAAGTTTCTTGCTTTATCACTTTCCCTTTTCATTAGTACAAACACTTATAGTTTCTACATTTTCGCGGTTTCAGGCTTTTCCTTTTGTTAGATACGCAGTCACGATGTTTCTCTTCTACTCAATACTCCCGGTTTTACTCAAGGTATGAAACCAATGATCAATACTCGCTGTTTCCATGTTCAATGCCTCTGAAACGTTTAACATCATTTTGAATAATATGATCTTCACAGACTAGTGGTGCAGCTATGTTCACCCTCTCATTACTTACATCAGATATGTGGGCGGTTTTGATCCGCATTTTCGCATACCACGAGAAGGTTTTGCTCACATTATATTACCGAACATCAAGAGACATTCTGTATTCCCTGTTTGTAGAAAACAAGCTGATGAGTAGTCTATTGTTAATGTTAAGGTGGATTGGCTCTACTACTTGGCATTTGCTACTACAGCTATTGGACTGTTCATATACTCAATGTAAAGTCTTTTTTCTTTCTAATCTTTCTTCAACTCCAATATCTGTTCTGCGATTTCATTGCTTCATCAAGAACAGTAATCAATTTCCTCTTTTCTTTGATAATCTCAGGAAGGAGAAAGAT